TTCTTTCGCTCGCATTGATTTAAATAGTGAAACGTTTGCTGGAGCGAAACGCGGCGTGGTGTATTAAGATCACTGTTAGTGAAAAAGACGCTAACAAGTGCACGACTTTAAGCGAATGCTACATCGAGCGTGTGCGCTATACAGGCTGATTCAAATTCGAGGGCCACCATGGGGATCTCGGGAACTGTAAGAGATAAATAGGTAGTTTAAATTTGGTAAAGTTGCGTATTTTGATGCTAAACAAAATGCAGTTTTGAAACTTAAAAAATTCCGACTACTTTCGGAGTTATCCGGAAAACACCGAAATTTTGCAAAATCGTTTTTATTTTTACTGAAGTTATTTAAAAAGATATTTGGAAATAAATAACACATTATTATGGCCACTTTTTTCTCTCTACAAGATGCTAGTTTCAAATTTTAAATCCGACGTTTCGTCTCCGGTTGACCATCATCAACTTTGTTTTTTCTTATGGAAGTAATTTTTACTTTTTGGGTAATTTGATAGAGAATTTAAAAGAAAGTTCAAAAATATAAACATCACATTTTTTTAAATTACTAAATATTTTCTTTTTTTGCCTAGAAAACTTTGTCTTAGATAGTGTACACACGTAGTTTCTTGCGTTTTTGCAAATTAATAGCGCTATTTATGATTAAAAGATAGTGATGTTTACATTTTTGAAATCAGAAAAAAATTCTTCATCAAATGACATAAGAAAAAACAAAGTTGATGATGGTTGACTGGAGACGAAACGTCAAACTTAAAATTTAAAAGTAGCATCTTGTAGAGGGACAAAAGTGGCCATAATAATGTGTTATTTATTTCCAAATTTCTTTTTAAATAACTTCAGTAAAAATAAAAACGATTTTGCAAAATGTCGGTGTTTTCCGGATATCTCCGAAAGTAGTCGGAATTTTTTAAGTTTCAAAACTACATTTTGTTAAGCATCAAAATACGCAACTTTGCCAAATTTGAACTACCTACCTATCTCTTACAGTTCTCGAAATCACCATGATGACCCTTGAATTTGAATTACCCTGTATAGGTACAACGTGAAGTATACCATACAGGCGTACACACAACAACCTCAATGCACTAGGCCGCGGTCCGGACATCGTTCGCTTTGTAGCTCAGTAGTACAACGTTGGGCTACAAAACCGGAGGTCGAGTCGAACATTCTGCCGGCCACTCCGAATTAGGTTTTCCTGCAGTTTTCCTAATTCGTAAGGTAAATATCGGAGTAGTATAGAACAACTTAAGACCTTCTGCAGAGGCACCTATATACAAAGCACTATGCGGGTCACTCTGTAATTGGGCGTAAGCCTGTTGAGGGCCTAGAACAAGAGAGACAATAAATAAATAAAATAAATAAAGTTATATGATGACTATCTGTTACTTCTCCATTATCTATGTGATTTTATTCGTAATCACTTTATACATATGTTGGTAATTCTTGTGAATTAGTAAATAATCGATCACTATTGCCTTAGGCTTAGGGGAATTATTATTAGGGGATTAATTGGGGGTTTATATTCAATTAACTCAATTATTTTGACATATGGAAATATTTTGTATTTGTATACGGGGAAATTGGGGACGTGTAATGAATCGACATTCATTTTTGTGGCTAAATCAGTATCTCATTGGTTAATTCACTTGTTACTTTCATAGTTCCAGTTTTATACAAGGAAAGTTAAGCATTGAAGGACACTGGGTGGCGCTAAACCTTATACGAGGAAGCTACAAAAAATGTTATATGCCCAACGAACTAACCGCTGTAAAGTTTCTCATGCCCTTTTACTTTCACATCAGTGAGCTAACTGGCCGCGAGTTTTGAGTAAAAGCAGTGCTACCCCAACTCGCGTCACACTATAATACATAGCAGCAAAAAGAATGGAGCGAAGGAGTATGAGAGAGCAAAAAATAGTCACCTCTGTCAACACTCACGAAGTTCCACTTTCGAATTTTTAAATTTTATTTACACTTTTGTATACCCCTAAACGGGAGTGAGGCAAAATGGAAATTTGGCATTTGAGAACCCAGTTTAGAGGTGCACCATCTTAACGCAGCAGTGTTCGATATTATACTCGTAGTATAAAACCGTGAATTGTATCCTTCTATGTGGTATGGTTTCTGAGAAAAACCTCCTAAAGTATACGCACATTTTTGGGCTTTTGAGTGAGTAGTCCCTAAATGAAACATTTCGCCCTGTGGAATATTTGAAAATAATGCTTGTGTTGGTCACTATCCCCCCTCCCCCAATCCCAGATATACGTATTTGTAGACCTCCCGTTATACTTATTTGCATTACAGCTGCGTTTACTAAATTGGCATCTATAGTCCGTCTCACCTTGAGTTTACAGTACAGGCTCTTATGGCCGACAACGATGCCAAATGTCATTAGAATATGATTCGTAGTAAATGGACGGCCTGGGTTCGAATCCCGGCCGATGCAGAATTTTTTTAATTAATATTTTAGCATTTCTGCATTTCGCCAGACTAATGCTGGTCGTTGATGTAGGTTGTACCACAGGACTTGCCATTTCTATATAGTTTACAGTCTATGTAAGTAAAAGAAATGTTTGTCTGTCTGTATGTCCCTTATTGCCTTCCTAAACCGCTCATCCGATTGATATGAAAGTTGGGGAATTGTTGGACGCGAAGGTTTCTGATTTAATAAAACACTTCCTAAAATTCCAACGGGAACGGTAAAAATCGGGATTTTATGTTTTACAGTCGCAATTGCGGCGGATAGGGACCTGTCAATTAGAACGTAGGATTCTTTGAATGCGTCAAGGTGTACTCTGAAAACACTTCCCGAAATTACAAGGGATTATATATGGAATCGCTTATCGGATAAGTGGCTTGACCGCTCGGCGGTTCTGCTGGCACATATGACTATAGTGCAGCTAAAACTGTTGTCACCATACATGGAGCACCCATTCTGCGATGAATCTCGATTGACCTCACCCCTTCAGCTGTCGGAAAACGCGCACCTCGCTTTTCCTCCTTCTACCCTGTACCCATCTCATCAACTCAGAATTTAAACTAAATTGTTAATTGACAGTGCCCAAACGCATTAAAAGGGCATTTCAAGTTGGAAATTATGACAATTAGCATTCAAATTAAAATCGGCAACGGCCCCCTAAAAACTTCCATAAGGATTGTATTGCCCTATGTTCTCTGTACTGTAAAGGCAAGGTGCGACGGACTATAGTTAGCAATCTGTTCTGTGGTGTAGCGTTTATATGGCAACGCTACATGTCTATGGCAAACTGGTAGGCGCTTGGCAGTCAAGGCAACGCTGTCATCAGTTGTTCTACGAATGTCACCAGCAAGTTGACAATGACAGGCCCCCGCCGAAGAAACGGCGTGCCACTCGGTACCAGTCATGTGGACATACCCCACCATAGAAACAAGGTATAAAAGAGTGTGCATCGGCGTGAAACTTTAGTTTCCTTCAGCTGTCAATGGCGTAGATCTAAATACCTATCGCTGCATCATAGCGTAGGACCACAACCGCCCTTATAGTGTGGTAATATCACAACGACCTAATGCCGTGCTGAAAAACTTTACTAAACGTTCTCCATTGCCACGGCTAGTGTCACCTTTGCCAGTAACTCCAAAATGTCTTCGCAGAAAAGAAATCCCCTGGAAGCTGGTTGCAGTGAGCAGTTCCCCATTCGTTCATTATCCCGTCGTTTATTTCTACCAAAATGTTCAAGTTGCAATCCTTGTTAATCATCAGTTATACTAATCTACCTACGAGTATTTATTTTTTACTCGTAGTTGTCTACTGACGGTCTTGGTAAGGCATGTGATTGGATGTTTTGTGCAGAGAATGATGTTATGCTTTGCAAAAACATCCAATCACCTGCCTTAACAACATTGTTAGTTGACAATATATTTATTATTATTGTGGTGTCGAAATGACCTCATGGATATGTGCTTGTGGAATTTTGTCAATTATCCCTCTGAGACGTATTTATCTGAAGGGACATTTTGCATGCCATGGGAGAATTCCATCAGTGAGATGTGAGGTGAAATGTCTTTACTGAGATCTTGCGTTTTGCTTTATTTGACCCTTAACTTGTCTAGGACTTTTCCCCTTCAGGGTTTTTGTACCTTTTAAATTGTATGCAATTCGACCATGTACCGTTTTCGGTCGATCTTTATGTTGTAAGTTTCGTCGCTACGTCGCTACAGGAGAACTCAAATTTGTTAAAGCATTACATTCTAGGGCCTGATGATGGCATTTGCCGAAACATGTCGCCATTGATTATTTATATCTTTTTCTACAATCGATATCCAAAGTAGGCATTTGCGCTCGTATTTGACAACGCAAAGGTAATCTTTTTCGAGGAATGTCACTTTGTCGCTTATAAGCGACAAAATAGAAAAAACGCTCGCTCTCCCAATTATTAACTATAAATCAAATATGCATTGCTCAGAGTATCCAATGACAACGAGTAAATGACATCTTTCATTTGGGCATAAGATAAGATTAATATGATTTGAGTGAAAAATTTAAATTTCTGGAAATATGTGAACTGCTCGATTGTAGAAAAAATCTTGTGTGTAATTCGAGCGCAAATTGATTGTCGACTTCAAGAGATTGCCGCGCTCCTTCGTCGCGCGTCAACTGTCTCTTTCAATCGACAATATATCATTTTGCGCTCTTAATACACAAATAGCTATTGTATAATAAATGAAATTTATGGGGAAGGTTTTGTGATCTTTCTTCCGGATTGTCTTAGTTGGTTTAGCGGTGAATCATAACCTCGAGATTCCAGTTTTCTGGCCTTTTTACGTTTAAGCTAAATCGTGTATGTTTGCCACATTTGTAAGTTGTGGTATATATACTTAGAGAAATTAATAAAAATATCCCATCTAAAAATAAACGTGAAAAACAAACGTCAATAAATAAAAACAGACGCGCCCATAAAAATCAAAATTCAGTTTTCATCTGTCCAACAATCAACATGCAAAACGAGTTACTTACATGTTTACGATGAAAGGGTGTCGAATTTCTTCTAGTATCTTTTTCTCATTTTTTACATGCTCCACCTGCTTAAGTCTGATTACGTCGGCTAGCGCCAGTATTTTCATCGCTCCGTACGCGCTTGTGTATTTATTCCTGCACAGTAGCACTCGGCCAAACGTACCAGTTCCTGGAAAACGTCTTATATTAATTTATCTCATTCGGAAATCGTACTTCAATGTGCCAAAAATATGGTTAACTTAGTGATATGTAAATTTGCGAATATTTTTTAACCGACACAAAATTACTCTTGTTACGCTAATACAAAATTTGGCGCGGCTCCAAATTACTACCTTCTTATATACATGTAATAGTTACAACATTTGCAATTATCACCTAGTAGGTCATAAAGCATTGACCGCGCATTATAATAAATAAAGCAAGGAGCGTTTTAAACTCATTCCCTGAAATAACTACTGTTTAATGTGTTGTTGTTCGTCTAATAATGTTCTAATCTAAAATATATTCGCATTACCCTCCTCCTCTTCCCTTCGACGTGACTATATCCACTGTAAAACTGGAAAGAAGTTGAAGTTGCGTTCAAAAACGGTTGATGTAATAATAATATCGCGGTTTGTTGAGTTTTAAAGGCAACTTTTTTTTCAAATTATTTACGCTAGTCGTAACCGTAATTAAACTTACAAACACATTTAATGTTACATCTATTTCTTAAGTGCGCCTGTAGAAAGGAAACGCAGTTACTTTCCAAATGCGTTTTCTGGCAGTTACTGCATGAATTCGTTCCAGTTCTTGCTTTTTTATAGAACCAACTGAAGAATGTGAAAAGAACACGTCTCTCGTACAGACAAATAGCGATTTTAGTCATTTGTGTTGTTCCATGTGAGGGTATATTGATGGATTACCAACTATCCCATATGTCGCCGCATTCATACAAAAAAACCATACGTCTTCTACAAATCACGACGAATGGAATTTTTCATTGAGTTGCGTTGCTTACTTCGATTGAAATGTGACGAAATGATGTTATACAAATACAATGCATTAAGTATTGTTATATGTGGATGGTTTTTTTTTGGTATCAGCACTTGCAGTTGGGCAACCATTAATGTGTTTATTCGCATTTATTTTTGACATTAAATGTTGGTCGCTAATTCAAAATGAACACAATTTCGATCGTGTTATTCGAATTTGAAATCATTGTTGATTTATTTAGAATTAATCATTTCATGATGTCGAATTTTGTTTAAATAATCGCCTTTGAATTTGTTCATTTTATTGTTCAGATATAAGTTTGTCTCATGCTATCTCCGGCCGGTGGGATAAGAAGTTCCGTTATCACTGCGTCAGCTAATTAAGTTTTTAGATAAGCGGATTTCGCCGATAAGGAACCACAGGTGTTCAATTTATTCGAAAATGCGGTTGGAAGTGGAACGGAAAACGAAATGGTTTTAAATAGCAAAGGAAGACGTAAATCGTTGCTTTTTTGGTGGTGGAGACCTTTCGTGTATCGCAAACAGCAGTAGTTGTGCGTAATTTGTTGCAAGACGGTCATATTTAAATACGATTTCGGGTAAAATTTAATACAAAACTCGTCAGTAAAATGACATTACTTAACTCGGATATTAAAATACTCGGCCTCGTACTTCAATACTTCCTCGCTAGTAATGTGTCATTTTCTTGACTTTTATGTAAATAACTATTTCATGCTAAATTTCTCAGATTTAATAAAATTACAGTCTTATCGTGATTTTTCGTAGTAGCAGAGGCTGGAAAAATTTCATTTCGTATAAACAAAGATTTTGTTAATACTTGTGTGTAATATAGGTAGCTGGACAGGTGCTTGTGGGTGGTTTAGTGGTCGTTTATCATTGTACATCGCAGTATATTACATGTGCAAAAAACAATATTCACCTCATCACGCAAAACTACCAAATAAATGTCGGTAGATTTCGGAATGCTCTGGAAATGAGATGAGAGTCTGCTATACAGAAGTCGTGAAGTTGTAGTGTCGATTAGAAGGAAGTTAATTTTTAAACTTGGAAATAGACTAGAGTAGCAGTACTACAATTCACAATGAAATAACGTTAACACAAAATCCAGTAAGAATGGAATTAGATAGTTCATAGAAATTGGCTTCGAGTAATTCCCACTCAATGACACTTACAAAGTTACTTTTAGTTAAAGTGAATAAAAAACTGACAAAACTGCACGATGCAAGCGATCGTTAATTTCGGTTGAAGAACATGAATTATACGTAGATCTTGGCATAGATAAAACTTCTACAAATGGCGGCCGGAAGTCGTGGGGTACAGCTAATTAACTCGTACACGTGGCAGCGTGAAATGGAGTGGTGCTCTTATTACGCCCCTTTCAGGACAATATAAAACACTGGGACCCCAATTTACGTGATAATACCTCCTATCGGAGTCCAATTAAACAAACCTGACAGGTGTTGCAGATCAGTCATTAGCAGTGAAGGATCGCACAAAATGAGAAAAAGAATCATTCCCCTAGTAATTCACAAAAACCGACAAACCAGCGGAAAAGTAACAAAAATACAGGACTGTAAACTTAACATAGCTCTTAAACAGTACAACGAAACACTCAGCTAACTTCAAATCCGGACGACGGTCGCTACATAGAAAATTAAATCTACACCAACTACACACGTTACATGATACTGATACGCAACTTTTAGTAGTGTTGCAGATATCGTTGTTTTTAATTTGGGGAAAGACCGTGGAGGCTGGGGGGTCTGATCCTGTTGTATATGCAGCAAAAGAGATCGAGTGGGAAGTGGAAGTGTGTGGTATTGTTATGGATACAGATGCGATATACTGATCTGAGAGAACAAAGGGTAAACAAATTTAAAAAAATAAAAGGTTTCCCTTGTACTTTGGAACTGTTACAATAGACGGATTTAAAGCCCTTGATCTTACTATTTGAGATTGACTTTCTACTGCTGTAATGAATTTGGTGTTAAAAAAAATAATTTGAGACGGTTAGTTAAAAAAACAGATTATGAAAATTTGGCTCTAACCTTTTATCCTGAAAGTAATAATGTGGCGCAAAATTCGCTAGCTAGCTAGCAAAAGTATAGATAGGCAAGATATAATAAAAATAAAAAAAACTGATAGCTATTTTGAATATAAATCAAAACGAATTTCGTTACTTTAATTGTAGCATTTTCTGGAATCCATGGTTTCCTGATGGTACAAATCAGTACTGCCTTTTTCGAAGAGGATGTATCCTTTAAACTGAATAATACAAAAAGAAACCTGGACGTCAAGGAGGAGATTTTTCTTGGCTTGCATGGCACGTGTCTGACGAGCACCCAAATGTGGAATCGAGAATCAAACCAAATAATTAATAGTTTCTTCCTTCTCGTACACAGACATGGGATTTATTCATTCACGTACTTAATATTAAAAGGGACCGAACATTTGAACGACTCGCTCTGAACGATCATTTAAGCACAGTAAAAAAGCTCGTTCGACCCATCACTTTATCCTTACTTTCTCAATTTTACAAAACTGCCAACCAAATGCCGGTAATAGTTTCATTCGGCCATCTTTAATCGTGGACTAATAACTGCGTCTACTAAAACAAATCGCGCTCGTGTACAGGTCATTACTCAAAACCCACCGGATTGATGATTTCCGAGTTCGCGTTTCTCAGGCCGGCCGCGTGACGTCACTATTCTGATTTAGCTGTTTTGGTCACGTAAAAGGCATTAAAATTGTGTTATCGGTCGTCATCGCCCGCCAGACTGGCGATGATAACTTGTACTTTGCGCTTTGCGCCCTTCTCTTCTCTGTGGTATAGGTCAAAAAATTTAGAGCATAATGTACCCAAAATTATTCTTTACACATGGATTTGGAGTTGTAAAAGCTTTCAAACGCATTGTCTTGATGCTGAAAGAGTGCATCACATGCACATTTGATAACCGCGTGTGTGTGATTCAAAGATGTTCAATTCTTCTTCTGAGGCCACGTGGATTTTCATCAAAACACGTCAAAATCTTTATTTGTGCACCGAGATCGTTGGGAAAAGGACGATGCCCAACACAATAACATGGTCGTTAAAAAAGTGATGGTCATACTGAGGATCCTTCGATATTTCGTTGTATCGGTTTATTTCTTTTGTCTTAGTCAACTTAAAGGTTCTAGTAGGTTCCGTCCAACGTGGAATCCATCCCGTCTCTACTGAGCTAGTGACAGGGGCGCACTGCTGAACACGTAGATACAGAGAGGCAACACCGAGGGAAGTTGAGATAGCGCCAGCAATTTTATTTGCGAGCTCTATTCTGCTTCGGCTATTAGCCAAATTTGGCTTGCAAATTTCCGAATTTTATCTTCTCTGCACCTTTATTCTTCCCGACTTGACAAGACATCTACAAAATGGAGCTAATCACGTGCGCAGAAAGGTCATCCGTGCAAAGCCCACCGCCATTTGATATTGCAAATTCAGTGCCTCACACGAACCCGCATCATGAGTAATCCTCACCTAGCTGCTTCGGGCACGTAAAAAACACTAGGATTGCTTTATCGCTGGTCAGACTGTCGCCAGTAATTTTCCCAAAGCATTAATGCATACGGAATCCATTGACTCATGAAATAGAGATAGTCAATTTAATTAAGAACCCAATCACTTTTATAATGTTAATAAAAATTTGGTAGAAACCGACCCTCTAATGGAGACACCCTGTATATTTCCTAAATAGTCTTCGCCACAATGGTGTACAGAGAAATGATGAGGGATGAATTTGAACGAACTGTGACTAGGTATTAAATTTCAAATTCAAAAACGGAAACTGACTTAAGCACGTAAGACGGTAAGAAAAATATAAATCAGCCACAATTTTGATGAAAAGCTTAAGCTTAAACGAAGGATGAAAATGTAAAATAATATTGTACCTATACGTTTTCTAGACCAACATGAAGAAACAACCATACATCATTATTTGTTCGACATCCTGTAATAAACACTGTCTATTACCTTGACATTTGTGAAAGTAGATAATTAACTCTCTTTTCATGTTTAATATTTAAATTTTCTAAGATACAAATTTAGGAACCGGTACACGCAAAAGATCCAGCAACAATTGCATTAGTAAATATGCACAAACGTGTCATAAAGTGAAGTTACTTTATGTAGGTAAATGGATAA